AATCTCTGAACGAGAGACTCGAGTCGCTCATAGAGAGATCCTCATTTCGTATCCAGTCTCTGAACGAGAGACTTGAACCTCTGAATTAACAATTTTATCGTTCGAGTCTCTCATGCAGAGATTGTGAGAGATCCAAAAAACACCTAGGCAATAACTGAGAGACTGTGAGAGACGCTCTCAGAGACGCTGAAAGACTCTGAAAGACTCTGAGAGACTGGAGAGAGACTGAAAATTTTTGTCTAGGGTTGACATGTTTCTTCAAAAATTATTTCAAGTTTCTTAATTATTACAATTAAATTTGTAATATCAACTAAAATACCTCGTAAATTTATTTTTGCTGGGATTTTATTTTTGCAAATTCGGGTCCAAATTGTAATTTTTATTATTTTCGCTTACAAAGCAACGGGCTAGTGGAATAAATTGTAAATATCGCTTTAATATTTAGGAAAATTATCCTTTTTCATTTTCTCCGTATTGGGTACTATGAGTTAAAATTAAAAAATACCCTCGACATGAATTATACATAAAAACACTCTCGATTAAGTCACTTTTCAAACAAGAGAAAATTAATAAAAATCGGTTGATTCGTTTAGGGGTTACGGTGTCACAGACAGACACAGAGATTCACACATTAAACGTATAACACTTCTCTTTTGTGTCGAAGTTTAGAAAAAACATTAATCGTTTATATTATATTCTTTAATATTTTATAGGAATTATCATGTATTAAAAACTATCTAAACAATACAAGACGCTTTCTATCTGCTTCACCTGAACAGTCATCAATGCTTTTTACCAAAGTAATTAGGTATAATTACTCCCAAAGGAGCAAACAAAAGCATACGGTCGCCGAAAAATAATCAACGTTAAAGCAAATAGTTTACAAAAAAAATGAAAGTAATGGCAAATTATAGGGGAACAAAAATTGTTTTTAATTTGTAACACTCATTACTCCTAACCGGTCATACTCTGTCTGATAAAATTTCTGTAAAGGTGGATATCGTTTTTACTGATTCAGTTTCTTTTATGTAGAGATATACCTAGATTCATTAATTAAACAATCTGCTCGTTTGTCCAATGTACTACGCTGTCAGAAACAAAACCTGAATACGCTTCTGCATACATTTTCTTCTTACTTGTTAAAAATGACTCATTTTGATATTTACTAAAGACTGAAAATAAAAATAAAATGCAATATTACATTTTTTCCTGATGACTAGTATTTCTTTCTATTATAGACGTAGGAATTTTCTACATTCAACCTATACGATAGTGTGTAAATGAATATCTACAGTAATCGCAAACATTAATTCTTATAGAATGTCCTAATTGATAATGTTATTCTTACTCTTTAATAGGTAACGCAAATTTGATAAAACAACTTTCTGGTCAGCAAAAGTGGTTTTACTGAAGAAAACAATGGACTGTAAATAGATAGTTACTATAGTAGAACAATGAAATAGAATCAATCACATTTTGTTGATGATTACTATTGTTATTTCACTGAAATTTTAAATACATTTTTAAATTATTAACGTCAAGTACACTATTAAATACTTATGATAATTTACAATCAATAAAATAAACAATCGAAATTTCAAAAATTGTCATGTAGATTGAAAATCGAATTTACTTTAATGCTAGCACGTCATCATTTTATTGAATTACCACAGGGTACATGTATACATTTCGACTTGCTTCATTATTGCAAAAAACCTTACGCAATTAGTTATTGAGGTAAAGGTCTAGATTATAGATTATGGGGGGGGATCGAAGGAGGAGGCTTCCCCACCACTGTACCATAAAAAGTTC